CTTCACAGATGCTGCCACACCTGCTGAGCTTTTCCAGCAACTTCAGTTTTGTGTGTAGGAATAAACTAATTCTTTATCAACTTACCTCTGACCTATTTTTATTCATTTGACTTGATGGCATTGAATTTAAATTTGGGGAAAACAAGTTAGGTGGATCTGCACATTTCTCTTTATTGCCTTTCATTTCTCTCCTCAAGTTTAATTTTCCTCCTACTAAGACACCAACTCACTGAAATGAGTTGATCGTTTTTGTACACGTCCAAGAGGCTGGTACAATACTCAAATCTTTAGTCCCAAATCAGGATGACATGTGAATATAAAGAAAAGTAGGGGTTAGAGAATTTCAAGAAAGTGTAATTAATCCCTTGGGTTAAAATTTCTGCAAATGCTTTAGTTCTTCTACACAACATACTGAGATGCATAGTCCAATGCAGCTTCCTGCCTAACTGTGCAAAATAAAATGATTTCTCAGGCATCACCTATCATTCCAAGTGGTAAATACAGAAAGTTGAAAACCATTTAAATTGAGATGAATAGAGTTTCCTAACAAACAGCAGTAGGTTTTATCAACCTTTACCTTTTATCTGGTAATTTTCCCTCTGCCAACGTTTTCTATTGGGTTTCTCAATAATAACATTTCTCTTCGTTTTCGCTGCAAATATTTGAGGAAACAGGGTGAAGTACAAGTGTCTATAGTACCCTAACAAAATTGGAACAAAAGTAAAGTAGTAATTAAATTAGAAAGTATGATTAGGTAACGTGAATCTTGGATTTTAGAATCTAAAAACTGAAAGCAAAAAGGATGTAATGAAGAAGAAAATCTGTATATTCAAGTCATGTCAGAAATTAAAATTTAAAAATCTGCAACAGAAACTCACCCTTCTTCAATGTCACCTATTTCTGGTTTTAATGCAGATACATTGAGGTCAGGTGGAATCTACTTCTGGAATGTACATTGTTTATTTAAATATTTTAATAAGGCTGTGTACTTTAGTTTTAAGTCATTCTATTTTTAACAACTGGTGGTATAGGATTCCCCACTCTCAGGAAAGTTAACAATGTGAAGGAGGGAGATAGGGTGATGCCTTTACACTGCTGCTTGTGGGCAAGGAAGATAAGGAATCTTTTAGGACCAAAACCTTATCCCTAAACCGCTGAAATCCCTAGTAATCTATTTTCTTTCTCCTGATCACCATTATACCACATGTCTGTAACCCATCAAATTCTCATCCCAATGTGGTCAACAGCTACTGTCTCACCCAAACAGTCAGAACCTGCTGATACGCAACCATCATAAAGTCATTACCTCACATGCATGACCCTTATCTCCACCCCCACAATCATTCTTTCTCACTCTCCCCGTTTACTTACCTTTGCTCATGAGTTTGGCCCTGTGAGGCAGACTTCCTGCATGAAAGGCCTTGACTTTTCAATCTTTTAACGGGCCTTGTGTTTAAATTTTACAGGGCATTTGGGAAACCTCTTCTGGGTTTTGTAGCTTGACGACTGCACTCCTCCTTCCGCCACCCTCCCCCCACCTCCCTGCAATGAACTCACCCCAGGTTAAAATGCAAGTCTTCATTTCAAAATATTTAGGATGTAGGGTTAGGATGATGATTATGAATTGCCCATCAACAAAAACAATTACGTTTGTATAATACTTTTAATGTAATGATCTAAGGCACTTTACAGAAGCATTATATAAAATAGAATTCAATACTAAACCACATAAGATATTAGGACAGAAAAGGTGGCACAGCAGTTAGCACTGCTGCCTCACAGCACCAGGGCCCTGGTTCGATTCTAGCCTCGGGCCACTGTTGGTGCACGCTTGATGGGCTGAATGGCCTCTTTCTGCACTGTAGGGATTCTGTGACAGATGATCAAACTTTACTGAAATGTTAGGTTTTAAGGAGCATCATAAAGCTTGAATATGAGGTAAAGAGACAGAGGTAAAGGAAAGGAATTCTGAAACACTCAGCTCTGATAGATGAAAACATAGCAGTTAATGATGGTGTGATTAGTATGTGTTTTTGGATACCCACTTGTTTAAAGAGGGTAGATGATGACAGACAAACCAGGTATGCAGTGGGATGTTAAAGTTGTGGAGTTTTGAGGCAAGAACAGGGGTTTCATCAGAAAATGAGCTGAGACTGGGCAGCAATGGACAACATTGTGAAGGTGAACATAGGTGCTCTTTGTGATGACGCAATTTGTGGTCAGAAGCTCATCTCCATCAAGTACAACATCAAGGTTATGAGCAGACTGGTTTAGTCTTGGACTATTCCCAGAGGGAGGAAGAGAATTGTTAGCCTGGGAATGAAATCCGATTGGGAAGATTTCCACTCATCCAGTGCTGAATGTTGGAAAAGCAATCTGATAATTTAGCAACAGTAGCAAGGAGTTGAGAGAAGTGGTTTTGAAGTACAGCTAGATATTATCAGCATCTTTGTTAAAACTAATACCGTATTTCAGAGGATGCTACCTGGACCAGCATGTGGATGAAAAAGTGGAGGCAGCCAAGGATAGAACCTTTGGGGACACCAGAGATAATGGTGTGGGAGAGGCAAGAGGAGTTATTGCAAGTGATAAGGTGCCCACAATTAAATGGATAAGAATGGAATTAGGTGATGACAATCCCAAAGCGGATGATGGTGAAGAGACTTTGGAGGAGGATGGTGTGATCTGCTATGCTACTGGCTGCAGTCCAGTTGAGAATGATGAGGAATAGTTTACATACGTTACATAAAAACCAAAAGAATTGCAGATGCTGTAAATCGGGAACAAAAACAAAGTTGCTGGCAAACCTCAGCAGGTCTGGCAGCATCTGTGGAGGAGAAAACAGAGGTAACGTTTTGGGTCCGGTGACCCTTCCTCAGTTCTGAGGATGCCAGACCTGCTGAGCTTTTCCAACAACTTTGTTTTTGTTACATATGTTACAGTCAGGTTGGGTATAATTTATGACTTTGGTAAGAGTCATTTCTCTGTTGTCACAGTAGTGGAAGCCTGATTGAGGTTATTCAAAGTTGGTATGCTGGGAAGATGGGCAAAACTTTGGGAACCAGCTTCTTAAATCCTTCCCTCCTGTCTTCTCCAACCTTATTTTCAACAATAAGTACAAAGCACTCATGAATTCCTTTAAAGTGGAGGGTGTGCACTGAGACAACAGTTAATGTTTTGATCTGCTCGGAGATTTTGAGTATGATTTTAATGCCTTGAATACATTGCAATTAAATAAGCCATGATCTGATGCAGTGAGTTGGAGTACTTTACTGTTACTTTTGTGAATTGGTTTAAATTAGGCCCTGCTAATGGAACAAAAGCCTCTTCTCTGGGCCAGCTATAAGCCCTCTGCATGAAATGAGCTTATTCCATTTTATTCCAGTTCACAGTAGACTAGAATTAATAGTGACTGTTGATATTGCAGAAAATTTTACCTGCAGTTATTTTAACAGGCACTGCTTGGTATATAATGAAGCTACAAGACCAGCTCGAATCTTATCGGGTTAAGTTCGACTATGCCAATATGGAAGATATAGGATCGATAGAATTTGATTTGCTGAAGCTTCATGAGCAGTTTCCCACTTTGATAAAACTCTTGGAGGATGCAATGAATCTGGCAGCACCCTCTCCAACCGAAGAAGAGAAAAAGAATAAGAAGCATTCTGTCAGGTATTATTACCTACACCTTGTCTGACAAAAAGCCATTAACCTGAAGGGTTAACTTTCTTAGATAACAAGGTGTAGAGCTGGATGAACATGCTCCTATGATGCTGCTTGGCCTGCTGTGTTCATCCAGCTCTACACCTTGTTATCTCAGATTTTCCAGCATCTGCAGTTCCTACTATCTCTGATACAGGGTTAACTTTCTTTTTCTTTCCACAGATTCTGCCTGACCTACCTAGTATTTCCAATATTTTTTGTTTTTATTTCAGGTTTTCAATGTCCAAAATATTTTGCTTTAATTCACTTACCTACTTCCTTTCAAGATCACTGGTTAGCAGTTATCAATGAAAAATGAATAAAGTCAATGTATGGAAGTTCCAAAGTCTCTTACAAATTCCTAGCATTCCATGCAGTAAAATCAAAGCTGAGTCATTGTGGTTGGTTGGCTCACTGAGCTGGTTCGTTGTTCCGCAGACATTTGTGTGCTCCTCTGATGCCCAGTGGTCGTAGGAGTCTTGTGGTTAGTTCAGATGTGTTCCTGATGTAAGGTAGCATGGTGAGTGTGTCGTAGTATCTTCCTCTTGTTGTGCGAGTGATAGACATCTTCCGATCCAGTTTTTTTTGGGTCAGAAGATGCATTAGAGGAGCACACAAACCTACATCAACCCTATTCCAACTGCGCACCTGGACCAAAGACCCACTACCCACTATGAACAGGACCAATGTCATATAAAAGATTTTCTGCAAAGACTGCGACAAACACTACATTGGACAAACAGGAAGGAAATTAATCACAAGGGTATACAAATATCAATTGGCAACAAAAAGACACGACCAATACTCACTCATCTCCATCTACGTGGATAAGGAGAACCACCAATTTGATTGGGACAACACCAGGATCCTGAGATAGGCAAAGCCGAGACAAGCACGGGAATTCCTAGAAGCCTGATACTCCACTAAGAAAGCCATCAATAAACACGTAGAGCTACATATACACTCCCTTGTGAAGGAAAACCGGAAGTGAGGTAATCCAGCTCAACAGACGCCAGAGTTTAAATAACAGGCGGGAAAACACAACAGCACTTCATCGGAGACTGCACTGATGATGTTACCCAGCAGGGTAATGAAATGTCTGTGGAACAACGAACCAGCTTGGCGAGCCAACCAACCACAACATCCACAACCTGAGTTACAAATCTACTCTAAAATCTTACAATGCTGAGTCAGTTTAATCATAGATAGTAGGGGTCTAGGCCCGAAACGTCAGCTTTCCTGCTCCTCTGATGCTGCTTGGCCTGCTGTGTTCATCCAGCTCTACACCTTGTAAACTGATTTAAGTACACTAAAACATTTCCAAAATGGGTGTTACAAACTTTACAGGATACCATGATGTCACAGTAGAAGTTGGTTTACTTACTATTTTTAAACCAGTGGACTAGATTGATTTATTGCAAAAGGACTTCAATTCTCCCAGAATTTTTTCTGTTTTCTTCTGATAAGGGCATACATTCCTTCTAGACCCAAACTTCCTGCTAGGCTTTGTTCAATGCCATTTATAAGTTAGGTATTAACTGTTGCATGTGAACTCTTCACATTGACTTCTTTCTGTTTTCCTCGTCCTCTTGGTGAGATTCACTTGGATTCTGCACAATAATATTAACCTATGTTGGAAATGTGTGTGGAGAATCATGAATACATGGGACACATGTGAATGGACAGAGTCTGGTTCCATCTCAGACTGTTGCCAGGTAGAGGGATAGAATCAGTGACTAGGGAGAGGAGTTTCAAATGGTGTCCAAAGAAAATAGCTTCATTCTTTCCAATATTTAATTGGACAAATAGGAGAAGTAGTTTGACAATTAAGTGGTCGAGATATCTCGGTGAGGTAGACCTGGATATCATCAACCTGCAGGTGAATTATATGCTGACAGGAGGATATACATGAGAAAAATGAGACCAAGGATCGATCCACAGGAAACACATTTAATACAAAGCCATAAACCTTTCAAGTTAATGCTGATTATTTGATTTCAGCCAGGATAGCAGTGCAACAGATATCCATCCCCTAGAATAGAGAGTGGAAAATAAGAGTTCCTAAAAGAGTTATTATTCAGTGATTAGTAATACAAAGTCAAAATGTGTGGATATCAGGTGAAAATGGCAGCAGTCCGAGTTCTGATTTACTCGTGGCTCGAGTATCTTTCCTTCACCAACTACCCTGACTTCCATGTGAAGAATCTATACTCAGGTGATATACAGGAGAATTCCAGCAACTCACATAATCTCCAACCCATACTACAGTCAGCTAATGCAGTGCATGTTGATTTCTGTGCCCCAGTTTTTTCATGTACTGTTTTATGCTGTCATGGGAGTTATAGAAAAGATAGTTAATTTGCTTTTTCAAACATGGGAATTTTTTTCATGGGATATGCCTGCCACTTCCAAAGCCATCATTAGTTACCCACCCCTAATAAGACCAGAAGATGTGGGTGTAGAAATCAGCCATTCGGCCCATCAAGTCTACTGTGCCATTCAATGAGATCATGGTTGATCTGATCCACAACTTCTCTTTCCTGCATTTTCCCCTTAACCTCGATTCCTTTATTGACTAAAAATCTGCCTATCTCAGCTTTGAATAGTTTCCACACCTTCTGAGGTAAAGAGTTCCACAGATTCACTACCTATTAATAGAACAAATTCCTCTTCATCTGTCTTAAATGGGCACCTCTGAGATTATGCCCTCTGATCCTAGACTGTTCAACATGGGAATCAATCCCTTCCCCTACACCCTGTCAAATCACCTAAGAATCTTGTAGGTTTCAATAAGATCACGTTCATTCTTCTGAACTCCAGTGAATACAGACCCAATTTACTCAACTTCCCCTCATAAGAAAATTTATCCATACTTTTTATCTATCTAGTGAACCTTCAATGCCTGCAATGTTAGGTTGGCTTTACTTAAATAAGGGGGACCAAAACTCTTCACGTATATTCTAGGTGTGGTCTAACTAGTTTTAGCAAGAGCTCTCTGTTTTTATACTCCATTCCCTTTGAAATAAAGGCCAACATTTCATTTGCCTCCTTACTTGTATGCTAGCGATCTGTGAGTTATGCATGAGGGCTCCCAAATCCCTCTGTGCTGCAGCTTTCTCCTTTTTAAATAATATTCAATTCCTCTGTTCTTCCTGCAAAATATATAACTTCAACATGTTCTCACGTTATATTTCACCTGCCAGCTTTTTGCCCATCACTTAACCTGGCAGATGAAGTGTTGTGAATAATATTGAACACCATACAATCAGTCATCAACAAACATCCTCACTCTACCCAATGATACAGGAAAGGTAGTAACCAATAACAATAACTGTGCTTTCTCTCCACAGATGCTGCCAGACCTGCTGAGTTTTTCCAGCAATTCATATATTTATGCTAGTCTAGTTCAGTTCTGGTCTGTTAATGTCTATGATGTTGGTAATAAAAGAGTCTGCAATTGTAATACCATTGAATGTCAAAGAGAGATGTTTAGATTCTCCTTTAATTTTGCATTGATATCTCCTCTTCTCATAGTTGTCCTCTTATTTGCTCTGCCTGAAGTTAAATTCCTGAGCCTTTCCTTACTCCTGCCCTGTTACTTGTTCAGAAAACTTTAACTTCTGCTGAGCACATCCACCCCACCTTAACTATTTCCATAATTTTTCATGCAACTGAACCCATCCATCCCACTACTCTGAACCTCGATTGCCTATTCATTCATACTGCCATCGTCATGGACAGAGTTAACAAAAGTCACCACTCATTTGTCCTGTGAATTTATGGACCTACCTCGGGAGATCCTGAAACTGTCTACAGTGGAACCTGGAAGGACTCGGAGGCACAGGTGTTCTTTTCTCCTCCAAATCCTCAATTAAAGCTATCATTATTCAGCCTTCTCCACTTCATAGTTATCCATTTAATACCTTCCTTTTCCTTTCATTGCCATCTATTTCTCCTTTTCATCTTCCTTGATTACCATCCACAAGACAAACCATATTTCCCCCTTTTTAATGCCACTCATTGATGACATTGATCCTGATGGTTAAGGAGTACTTTAGGCAAGGTATGTTGCTTTCACTAGAATTTCTATGTACACCCTGTCCTCATCATCTACTGGTTCGCTGCACGTGGATCCATGTACTCATGATATTGGCCCCAGACCCTTTCCTTTTACACCCACCATTGTCCTCAGTAAACTGATTGTGCACACCTTTATGATATCTGTGTTTTCTGTTAACCGTAGGAAGTCTGTGCCCTCGTCACTCTCAAATAACCAGTACTGAAAGTATAACGTACGATACTATAGAGGGAATACATTAAATTGAGCAATCTTATACCCATGTTCTGGTAAATATGAGGGAATACATTTTTCAGTGATAAAATGGTAAAACATACCAAATGAAATTATTGTTTTCTACTGTGAATCATGAAAACTACTTGGCTAGAATTTAAGTTTCCTCTCTTATTTTCTCAATTCTAGTCAACAACTTGGAGAAGTGACACAGAAGATGCAGGACTGGTTGTTGGAACTATTTAAGATGATAATCCACATGGACACGAAGCTCACTAAGCAGGTAAGCCACAGGAAATTTTTTTCAGCTCCTGAAGAGATACTGCAGGTATATTGAGGAGATAGCAGTGACATCATAGCCTAAGACTGAGATAATCAGGTGTAGAGCTAGATGAACACAGCAGGCCAGGCCGCATCGGAGGAGCAGGAAAGCTGACGTTTCGGGTCTGGACCCTTCTTCAGAAAATTTTTAGATTTGAAACGTCAGCTTTCCTGCTCCTCTGATGCTGCCTGGCTTGCTGTGTTCATCCAGCTCTACACATTGTTATCTCAGATTCTCCAGCATGGCAGTTCCTACTATCTCATAGCCTAAGACTGAAGTGTCTTACAGGAGAAGGGCGACAGCAGGTTTTGTCAGGAAAAGAAACTATGGGCTCTGATGCTTTGACTGTTTCTATGCCTCTTACCCCAATCCCAACTCCACAATCTTCTTGTATAGAGAATTAGGAACCATAATCACAGTTGGGTTGATTTTTCTTTACATAGGTTTAAGAAAACTGCTTGGCTTTTGTATTCTGTGGCTCAAAAGCCCATCAAAAGCTCAGGTTTTACTCTGGAACTTTTAACAGCTACTGCTTTGTTAGGCAATTACACACAGTTAGGGTGTTCACATTATGTAACAAACTTCACCAATTTGAATCTGGCCGTGTACCATATCTGGATAGCAACATCCAAAAAACCCTGAACCTCTCAAGCACTGCGAACAAATATTCCGATGCAAAGATCTTGAATTAGCAATGACTTATTTTATTCTGCATTTCACTTCTTGGTTTCACATCCAAGTTTAAAAGTGACAATCAGTTCCAGTAAATTAGCGCCAAACAATTGACCCACAATAATGTACTATTTCTATTAACAAACAAATAAGCTTTGTAAACCACAGTACTGGAATTCTGATTTCACCCTGACAACTTGAGAACTTTAAATTGCATTTTAAAATCTAGAGACAAAAACAAAGAAGGTATTGAATTGCCTCAAAACTCCAATTGGTTCACTGTTGTCCTCTACTACAGTATCTTAGAAAAGGAAACCTGGTGTCCTTTCCTAGTCTGGGCAATTATATGACACCAAACCCACACCAACGTGGTTGGTTTGACTGTCTTCTCTTATGGCCCACCGAGATTCAGCATCCAACTTCATATCTGTTTTTCGAAGAAGGCCTTCCGCCACAAGTGTGATCTCATTATTATTGCTCTGTGTCATAATGACTCTGAGGGATCACTTTCCAGATTGAAGTTAGGCAATAAATGATGATCTTGCTTTTTATGTCTCTAACCTGAGAATAAATCAAAGCACGTGCTCTCTTGGCAGCCTTCTCCTCCACTAACAAAAGCTCCGACTGAAGACTGTCAACCCAACATCCATCCTCTCCAAGGGAGAGCCCAAGAACAGCTCTCTCCTGCCTCCTTGTCCTACTTGATTCCTTAATCTACCAAAAACAAGTTTCACTTCAGCTCTAGAGAGCATGTTCAGAAACAAACAGGAGAGAGATTAGCATCAGCTTTGTTCTTCATTTTTTAAACTGAAGATGTCTTTCATGCCTTCCAGCACAGATTTCCCTCATGGTAAGAGTGACAGCTTTAGTGATCGAGCAACAATGTGTGGGATGCAAAAGACATTTTTAGTGTGGAGAAACTGCCACAAATATGAGAAATGTGTGAATATCTAGCTTCTTCTTAAATACACCTATGCTAATTGTCTTAACTACTCATTGTGTGAGCAAGTTCAGAATTCTAATTATTCCTGGCTTATATATGTTTCTCTAAAATTCCCTCTTTATTAATGCCTTTTGGTCTGGATTTTGATTCCTCTTTAAGAGGTAATTTTTGTACTTTTACCCAATTTAAATGCTATAATCTTAAACACCTCCATCCAATTGAGAGAAAACAATTCCCAAGTAGTTAAATCTTTCCTGATAAGTTTAACTTCTCATTTTGGTGTTTTTCTAGTAAATATTTTTTGCAACTTCTTCAGTGCATCTGGATTTTTTTATGCAATATACCAAAAATCTTTGCAGTTCTCCAATTGTGGTCTGAGATTTTATACAAATTTGATATGAATTCTTTGCTTTTCAACTTTACTGGACATCACGGTGGGCCAGTGGTTGACAGTTTTGCCTCAGAGTGCCAGGGACCTTGGTTCGATTCCACTCTCAGGTAACTGTCTGTGTGGAGTTTGCATGTTCTCCTGTCTGCGTGGGTTTCCTCTGGGTGCCCCAGTTTTTCCAATGGTCTAAAGATGTGCAAGTTAGGTGGATTGGCCATGCTAAAATGCCCACAATGTCCAGAGATGTGCATGCTAGGTGGGTTGGCCATGGGAAATGCAGAGTTACAGGGATAGGCTCAGGGGAGTAGCTATGGGTGGGAGGCTCTTCAGAGGGTTGGTGTGGACTCGATGGGCCAAATGGCCTGCTTCCCCACTGCAGGGATACAATGATTTTATGGTATACAGAAAGGTAGAAATTAGGAACAGAGTTAGACCATTTGGCCTGTTGACCAACTCATTCAACATGATCACGGCTTCTATCTCATATATATTCAGTGACTCATCTCTACATCCTCTGAGTGAAGACCTTTCTAATTTAACCTGCATCCAGATGCACGGGAGTGGAATGTCTCATCCTGGGAGCACATGCGGCGGAGGCGAAGGAATTGGGAATAGGGGATGGCATTTTTGCAGGAAGGTGGGTGGAAGGAGGTGTATTCTAGGTAGCTGTGGGAGTCGGTGGGCTTGAAATGGATATCGGTTTCTAGGTGGTTGCCAGAGATGGAAACAGAGGTCCAGAAAGGAGAGAGAGGTATTAGAGATGGTCCAGGTGAACTTAAGGTTGGGGTGGAAGGTGTTGGTGAAGTGGATGAACTGTTCAAGCTCCTTGTGGGAGCACGAGGCGGCGGTGATACAGTCATCAATGTAACGGAGGAGGAGGTGAGGTTTACGGCCAGTGTAGGTACGGAAGAGGGATTGTTCCACGTAACCTACAAAGAGGCAGGCATAGCTTGGGCCCATGCGGGTACCCATGACCACCCCCTTTGTCTGTAGAAAGTGGGAGGAATTGAAAGAGAAGTTGTTGATGGTAGGACGAGTTCGGCTAAGCGGATGAGGGTGTCTGGTCGGGCCTGCGGGACAGGAAGAAGCGGAGGGCCTTTAGGCCATCTGTATGGGGAATGCAGGTGTATAGGGACTGGATGTCCATGGTAAAGATGAGGTGTTGGGGACCAGGGAATTGGAAGTTCTGGAGGAGGTGGAGGGCGTGGGTGGTGTCACGGATGTAGGTAGGGAGTTCCTGGACCAAGGGGGAGAAAATGGAGTCGAGATAGTTGGAGATAAGTTCGGTGGGGCAGGAGCAGGCAGAGACAATGGGTCGGGGAAGTCAGGTTTGTGGATTTTGGGAAGGAGATAGAAGCAGGTGGTGCGGGGTTGGGGAACAATGAGGTTGGAGGCTGTGGGTGGGAGGTCACCTGAGGTGATGAGGTTGTGGATGGTTTGGGAGATGATGGTTTGGTGCTCGGGGGTGGGGTCACGATCAAGGGGGCGGTAGGAGGTGGTGTCGGAGAGTTGGCGTCTGGCCTCGGCGATGTAGAGGTCAGTGCGCCATACTACAGCTGTGCCTCCCTTGTCCGCGGGTTTTATGGTCAAGTTGGGATGGGAGCAGAGGGCTGCACGTTCTGCGGGGGAGAGGTTGGAGTGGGTGAGAGGGGTGGAGAGGTTGAGGCGATTGATGTCTCGACGGCAATTGGAGATGAAGAAGTCGAGGGAGGGTAGGAGGCCTTGGGGTGGTGTCCAGGAGGAGGGGGTGCGTTGGAGACGGGAGAAGGGGTCAATAGAGGGAGGGTTAGGCTCACGGTTAAAGAATTAAGCGCGGAGGCGGAGGCGGCGGAAAAACTGCTCTATGTCCAAACGTGACCGGTATTCGTTGATGTGTGGTTATTCTTACACTCCGTTTCCTGTCTGTTAACCAGTTCTCAATGCATGCCAGTATATTACCACTAATTCCACATGCTTTGATTTTACAAAGTAACTTTATACATGGAGTTTTATCAAAAGCTTTCTGAAAATCTAAATACATTGTCTACAAGCCGGCGCTCATCTATTCTACCAATTATGTCCTCAAAAAACTCAGGTTGATTGGCCAAACACCGTTTCCCTTTTGTAAATGCATGCTGACTTTGTGTAATGCTGTTTTCATTTTTTAAGTATCACATGCTTTCTAATAGACTCCAGCATTTTACTATTGATGTTAGGTCGACCAGTCTGTAATTTCAAGTTTTCTCTCTACTTTCTTTTCATATTCTGTTATATTTGCCACCCTTCAATTTGTTGGAACTGTTCCAGAACCTACAGCATTTTGGAAGGTAAAAACGCATCCACTATTTCAATAGCCACCACCTTTAGTACCCTGGGATGTAAATTATTAGGTCTTGGGCATTTATCAGCATTAAGTTCTTCAGTTTTTACAGCTGTTTTTTTTTTCTGCTGATACTGATTTCCTTCAATTCTTACTTCTCAAACAACCCTTGCTTTTTTGTCTTTTTGTGTCTTCTGTGATGATGGTATGGCAAATAAGTGTGAGGTAATGCATTTAGGAAGGCCAGACAGTAAAAAGGAATACACGATAAACAGGAATATACTGAGACGGGTAGATGAAGTAAGAGATCTTGCTGTGCAAGTGCATAGGTCCCTAAAGGTTGCAGTACAGGTAGATAAGTTTGTAAAGAAGGCATGTGGAATGGTCTCCTTCTTTGGCAGAAGTATGGAATACAAAAATAGGGATCTAATGATGAAACTGTATAAGATACTGGTGAGGCCACAACTGGAATATTGTGTGCAGTTCTGGTCACCACATTGCAGAAAAATTGGTGTTGTTTACCTTGGAACAGAGAAGGCTAAGGGGTGACATGATTTGAGGTATACAAAATTATGAGGGTAGAGACAGAGTAGACAGGAAGAACCTGTTTCCCTTGGCAGGGAGTTTAAAACCAGGGGTCATAGATTCAAGCTAAGTGG